CCCACACCCAACGAGAACTCTATGGGCAAAAAAACTCCTGGATAGACTGGGGAGTATTTTCGGTCTAGAATCAGACATTGTCTCAACGGCGCAGGTCGAGTCTTGACATCGTCCACGCCAGTGGAAGTAGGAACTTATGGAGCAGTTGACAGCAAAGAGAAATGTCGTTGCTAGAAGGCGTGGTTTGTGAGCACTTGCCATAAAACCAAGCGAGGCCAAACGAGGGCGTTGTTACCCTTCAGCTCTAATATGTCTTCAACCCTTTCCATCCCCAACCGTGTTCACTATTTAACTAAGCAATAATTCCCTCCCACACTGTGAGAAACGTTCAGTCTCAGGGGCTTTAAGACTGATCTCCACGGCAACTGAGAGACAGGTTGCCTTGTATGAGAGACACTGCCCAATCGACCCTCTCCGACCCGAAGCGCGCTAAATCTCTATGGCACCCATAGTGAAAGTTTACGACCGGGGAAACTCTTCGTGCCGTTGACTGCTTTTCTGCTCAGCGATGATGCAAGCTATAGTCACTGGCGGCATCTATCAAGTTGATGCCGGGCTTGTTTGCTAGCTACGTGGATTTGTTCATAGCTCTTTTATGCCTAATTTGATCAATAATGCCACTGTGCTAGTATTGTGCATTGCCATTAATGTTCCTGAGAGTCTCTTGATGGGAAGCAGATTGATACATCCCCCCCAGCATTCTACATGGTTCGATAAGGAGCTTGTTGTCGCCCTAACCCTATCAGGAATGTTAGCCAAATGACTTGTCGCCGCAGGATGCGCTAGCCTGGCTAGATAGAGTTTCGACCCACAAGGCTATACCATTTGTGGCATTCGTCTTGAGCTTGCATTTTCCAACCTGTCGGGTCCACATATATCTTGCTTCTGGCAACACCGACTCTAATTTTGCGGCTCGGTACTGAGAGGAATTCGGTGGTCTCCTCGTTCACCGAGGTCTGAATGTCAGACCTGCTTCCATTGTCGTCTCTTGCTGTGCCCCTTGTTCTATTGCAGGTAGGAAGTCTTCCAGAAAGGTCCATCTGATCCGTCGGTCCAACTTATCTCTTTTCCAATCATTCAGAGTTCCGTTGGGGAAGAATTTGAATCCGCTATTCGGCTCTAGAGGCGCACAGTCGTGGGCAATGATGACCAAGATGTTCTTCGCTGCGTCGAACTCCTGCATGTGATGAATCGTCTTTTCTGCCTCTTGGTAATCTTGGGGGAAGTTGGGCGCCATCCTGTAATATTCTTCCACCGCCGAGTTATGGCGATGCAATTTTTGAAACACACTCCCCGGGCAGACTGACCTGCCTAGGATAGGTTTGGTGGGAAAGACCTGTTTGGGAAGTGGAAGATACTGGTTGGGTCTCCATTGTCCACCTTTGTCAAGATATCAGACGGCTTTCGCGTCGATGTGGGGGGAATAATTCAACACTTACCGTGGTGACATGTGTCTCCGCCCATAAAGACAAAGGTATCCTCTTCCCCTCCAGTCCCTTTGGAGACGCGAGCAAGACCGCAGACATGACCGATAGCATGACCAGGCGCATCTAGCAGATAAAAACTACCATCGTCGAAGTAATCAATGGCCTTGAATTGACCCAATTTCGAGCGTGCGTCAAATTCCAGCTCGACCAGCTCTCGTCCGGCCCAATCCGATTCCAGCAGGTGGCTGTCCTTGTTTGTCGGATACCCCGGTAGCAGACCGCTTTTAAACCCTGGACCTACGATTAGATTGACACTGGATGGAAACGTCTCCATGTTGCCAATGTGGTCAACTGCAAACGGGTGATGGTCGTCAGCATCACGGCCATGCCGCAATAGAAAAGCTACTACGCACAGTGCCAATGCGACCAAATCACCGCTTCAATGCTTCCCGTTGAAGTTGCATTTGCCTCCAAAATCTCTGCAACGTCCTTTTCCACTGTGAAATGCCAGCCGGGTGCAGACATCATACCGACGATGGACGGAGAGAGGTTCTCAAGGTCTTTGCGGGTGCCGAGGTCATACAGCAATTTGCGGCCGGAGGGATGCTCAATGAGGAAGGAATAGGCTGGACAGAAAAGGTCGTCATGCCCCATAATCTTCGGGCCCATTTGCAAGCTCAAGGGAACTTTGATGGTGGTGGTGGTATCGATGATCTTCACGCTGACCGTAGCACCGGAAGGGATATTCAAAGGCGGTGCTTGTACAGCCGCCACCAGAGGTTCGTCTTCTGAGGACGACATTGGTGTTGTTCTTGTCGATGTCGAATGGTTGGATAGAGGTAGCGAACCGATAAAAAGGGGAAGATAGCCAGGTAAAGTTGAGATGTGGATATCAGAAATCACAAGGCATTCCGTGACCAACCCTCTTTCAGGTATAGCCAGTCTCAGTCCTACTTGCGTGGGAAAGAAATATGGAGTATACCAGGCTGGGACGGTGTGCTCAAATGTTGTCGGACTTGTGCTTCGGTGAACGCCGCAACACTTATACCCACAATCGAGGAGCCTCAAGAGGCTCGAGAGACCCAAATTTTCATGATCCATCCGAGTCTCGACCACGAATAATGCGCAAGTGGCATGAAATTCCTCCTATGCGTTCGGTGAAAACCGCAGCGCGAGTTGATAGCCGACTATTCATCCACCCCGGCCTTCAGTGCCCGGCGTATCTGGCTTTCTATCATCTATAACAATCTCTGGACCTTCACAAGAGCGAAAGAACCGACAGCACAACCACCAACGTCTCAACCATGATTGCAACAACGCGCTACAATCTCACGGTACGTGGTCCGCCCTTTTAATGTGTCGTGAACGTGGTTGATTGACCCCGTCGTGCAGATTGTCCTGTTCGTGGCCTTGAGTGCCTTGACCTACGGATATGCCTTTTCTGTATTCTCCACCTCCATCGGCCAGGCAGGATTCTACAAGTATTTCGACCTCGACCTCGAAGGACCCGGGGCCGCCTATACCAATTCTATCCTCGGCGCCATCAATTCTCTCTTCTCGACCGGGGCGGCCTTTGGCGCTCTTTCCGTAGCATGGCTCCCCGACTGGATGGGCCGCAGGTTCACCATCGTCTTCGCGGCCGCGCTCTCGCTCGTCGGTGGCGCGCTTGTGACTGGCAGTGTGAACATTCCGATGTTGGTGGTTGTGCGATTCCTGCATGGTCTCGGGGTTGGCCAGTGCATCACCATCACTCCCATCTATCTGTCGGAAGTTGCGCCGCCGCAGCAGAGGGGCTTTCTCACGGGCCAGAATGCGGTGGCCTTGGTCTTTGGTTATCTTCTGTCTGCCTGGGTCGGGTACGGGACGTACTTTGCCAGCAATGAGATGTTTGCCTGGAGGTTCCCGCTGTCGTTGTCGTGCCTGTTCCCGTTGATCTTGCTCATCGGTTCTCCGTGGATCCCCGAATCGCCGCGATGGTTGATCTGGAAGGACCGCATGGAAGAGGCCTGGAAGATCACGGAGCAGCTGCATTTCGATCCAGACGACCCATCCCAGCGCCAGGCCAAAGAAGAATTCTATCAGATGCGCATGCAGATTCAGTACGATCGCGCCGCCGACCTGTCCCTGTCGTACATGTTCAAGAAACCCAGCCTGCGCCGACGCCTTCTCCTGGGTTGCGGAGTGCTTCTAGGTTCACAGTCGTGTGGTCCCCTGGTCATCAACAACTACGGCGTGGTGCTGTACCAAGGCCTGGGGATGACCGGGAGCATGCCTCTGCTCATGTATGCCCTTTACATCGTCGTCGGCCTGTTTTTCAACATCGTCTCGTCGCTGATCATGGACAAAGTCGGCCGACGGAAGCTATTCCTGGGTGGGTGGACCGGCACGACAGTCATGTTGAGTTGCGAGACGGCGCTCGTGGCGAGCTTCGCAGGCACGGACAACAAGGGTGGGAATGCTGCCGCCGTCTTCTTCCTCTTCGCCTTCGTCACCATGTACGGCTTGTGCATTGATGGGACTGCGTACGTGTACTGCGCTGAGGTCTTTCCCACCATGTATCGTGCCAAAGGCATGGCACTCGGACTGTTTGTGTATTACACCGCCTCGATCGCATATCTAACCCCTGCCGCCACGGCCATCGAGAATATCGGGTAAGGAACCCCCCCCCCCCCCCCCCCTCCCAGCATGTTGAGAGCGGAACACCAAGAACACTAACTGGGCGCACAGGTGGAAGTTCTACTTGGTTTTCATCTCTTGCTCTTTCGTCGCAGTGGTTCTCACGTACTTTTTCGTGCCCGAGGTAAGTTGCCATTCCGAAATCAGTTTTTGCGGGAAGCTGACGATGACCAGACCGCTGGCCTGTCGCTAGAGGAAGTCAACGAACTCTTTGGTGAAAAAGTCTTGGTGAACTTGACCCACGCCTCGGAAGAAGAGAGGAACGATATTGATAGAGCGATCGAAGAGAAGCAGGGGGTGATGACAGAAACCATCGAGAAAGCATAGTAGAGCCAACTACTGGATATGGGATCTATCGCTTCCAGTCGAGCTGGTCACACCCACCAGGATACGAGTCTCTTGAACATCGAGGCATCAATGCTCGATGCAGCAGAAACGAAGAGATTAGACTCTTGGAATTTGGAAACGCTCTCGAATGCTAAGCTGTGAGAGGGTGGTCATTGTTTCCACATCACAAAGGGCGTAGAAAGTTATACATACCAGAGGCTTTATCTCAACTGTAGACCTCCGCCCTCCGCCCTCCGCCAGCCGGCCCGTTACAGACAGTACAAGGTCATCTGATGATACGTGAGCAGAGTGCGGCTATGGAATCGGCAGCGAAACAGGATCTACAAAATCGTCTTGGTCTCCGGCGACGTAATCCTCCGGAGTCAACTGCGGGCGTATCCATCTCGGGACTAAATGGATCATGACAGAAAATGACAGCATATATCCCTCTTCGAGACGGTTACGCCGCCGCCAGAGTCTGTCGTGGGAGTGTACGCCGTCATTGTTGAAGCCGATTCCGACAGTGGACAACTCGTCTTCAATGGAAGAATCAGCCGACGCTACATACCCTCAGTCGTATGCGAGTGGTGTTGCCGGCGGGGAGAGCAAAAGATCGGCTTGCGTCAAGTGCTGTGAGCGTTCGACAGCGGTGTGTCGCCCTAACGTGTAGAATTAGCGTGGAGGGCAGGGAACGTCAGCCGCGTGGATATGGTGTAGGAGCTACAAGGTGTCTCCGGGAACGACGAGTGAGCGGGAGACTTAAGGTCAGCACCTTTTCCCAACATCCGCCTAATGGCGTGGATGGACAAGCTCCAGAAGTAGCCGGCGTTGACCAGTGTACTCTTGAAAATCGCGAGAAATGCGCTTTTCGGCATCGGGTCGGTGGTCACCCCGCCAGTCCTCGTGCATTTCCATAAGATCGGTTGGTCCAACGCTGCATCCTTGAATCGGAGAATCATTTCATCCTCGCCGGCCGGAATGGCCTGCTGACGTAGGTCGGCGAGAGTGTCGTACCCAAATATGGCACCATCGGCAATTGCCAACTGGAGCAGGAGACCTGCGTCGTTGTAGATAGAATAGCCTTGTGTGATCCTTGGCCACCGTCCCGGCGCTGGACCACATCACAATGTCAACACGTGAAGGAACAGCGTACGCGGAGAGAGTGCTCGAAGGACCTAAGGCACTTGAGTCACGTCCTCAGGATCGCGGTTGTTTTGCACGCGGGGCTGATCGACCTTGTATACTAGTCTCCAGTTCCGGTCGTCTTCTGTGCCATCGACACATTGCAGGATCAGCTCGACGTCCTTGGAAAGTTAGTTCCTGCCACACATGGTGCCGGCCCATGGTGGTCCGCGTAAAAGCACAAGGAGTTCGGCCTTCGTCAGTCATGAAGTAACAGTGGACGGAGCGAGGAGAGACAGCCGTTGGAGGCTGCAGGATTCGAAAGAGAAGATTGTAGCCTCGACGCTCAGACGCGAGAGGGAGTCCATTTTGTGTCCAGGGTCGGCGAGTCGACGAGACAGGAGGGAAGCAGCCGACCTCAGGTCTGGAAGTCAAGACCACTTCGTAGAGATCCAAAAAATGGAGCCCCCTTGACCGTCGCCAATCATGGAACTCATTTTGGGACAGGGCGTACCAGGCGGACTACAGTAGGCATCAGACCGTCGCCGCGAGGGTGCGTGAGGGCGTGAGTAGGAGGGTGAGAAGAAAGCGAGAAGAGGGTAAGTCGCGACCAGATGGTTTTAAATGCGACACCGTCTTGCGCGAGCGCGCCGACAGCTCGGAGCAGTTCGACCATTCCTTGTGCTGCGAAATTGCCAAGCCCTCGATGATTCGGCTGCGCGACTGAACCGAGTTTCACCCTATGTCTCCAACGCGTCTCCTATACTTTTTCTTCGCTACCTGACTTGCGATTATCACATATCCAGTCTTCGCAATCACTTTCTCCACTAGCTCAGTGTGCGATCGACTCTCACCATGGCAGATTATGACCGGCGACGACGGGGTGGTGGTGGTGGCGGAGGAGGTGGAGGAGGAGGCCACTTCAACAACAGAAAACGAAGATACAGAGGTGGTTGATCCTTCCTTGTGTCCGATGACCATTCCATTCTGATGATTTTCCAGAGGATGACTACGAAGATCGTCGTCCACAGCGCCGCCGCTACGACGAGCCACTTGCGGTGACTCTGCGCAAACAAGTGCTGTCCATCGCAGAAAGTGTAAGCCTCGTGTGCTACTGGATTGTTCACCTACAAGTGCTGACAAAACGGTAGCCTGTTCGAAAAGCAGAAGATGAAGCTGCAACGATCGCAAAGACTCTAGCGGCGAACTACTTTGATACCGATCTCACTTCGGGGTTCTTGGAGCTCGTGGTGCAGCTGTGAGGCTTGCTCCCACCATCTCTTCATCTGCGATCTATCTGACCATTGCAGGCCCATCGAACAACCCCTGAAGATTCCCTTTGTCGCGGCCGTCCTCCTTCTAGCCAATGTGCAGAAACCCGAGTTCACGTCTGAAGTCTTGGTCAAAGTCGGAGAGGCCTTGCAAAAACAACTGAATATTGGCGCATGGCGTGAAGTCAAGCTTTATCTGCGTCTTCTCGGTTGCCTTCAGGGCATGTTTGAGGGAGATGGCATTTTTCCATTGCTTGAAGAACTCTTCTCCCGTGCAGCCGACTTGCAAATGAAGTCTTCCGAAGACGTAAGCTTTTTGACGGTGCTGTCTCTGAACCCTGCACTAACCCAGCAAAACAGTCCTTGGGCCTCGAACTTGTCAAAGTTATCTTGATGACACTTCCATACGCCATGGCATCTTCGGCAACGGGTTTCGAGAATCACGCCAATGCTCTGCTGGAGAAAACAGACATCATTGCCTCAACTGCCCATCCTCTGGAGTCGCTGGTCGATCCATTCCCGAACCGCGAAGTCGGAGCGCCTGCTGGTTCCGAGAGTGCTCTTGCGCTTCTTCAAAGACACATGCAAGACGAGGCCAAGAATGCTTGGGAGTTGGCCTGTCTGCCTCGGCCGTGGAAAGGGCAGCGCTCGTCTGAAGAGGAGGATGCATTGGGTGGGGCGCAGAAACACCAGTTCCCGACCGTGACTGTTCCAGAGACTGTTCAAAATGGCCCTCGGCCACTTTTCCCGGAGATTTATTTCTCAGTCTATCGCGAACAAGATATTGAGACGGTCCCTCCTGTGTCTGATCCTGCGGCACTCCTGATTCGAGACGCTTTGTCCGACACAATCAACGTCCTCGACTTCAATCGAGCGGTGGCCGCCAAATTTCTGATCGATGTCGACTGTTACTTTGCGCCGGATACCTTTGTGAAAAGGGCCACGCCATTTGACAAGTTGCGGGAGGTCGCCGGGGACAAGGCAACCTGGAAACCAGAGGATGTTGTTGTGGACGCGGCATTTTCTCAGCTGCTGCAGTTGCCTGGCCCTGAGCATAAGTTGGTGTACTATCATTCGGTGCTCACTGAGGCATGTAAGCTCGCGCCCGCTGCTGTTGCACCAAGTCTGGGACGAGCAATCCGCTTTTTATACAGGAATGTGGACAAGATGGATCTGGAACTCTCTCAGCGCTTCCTGGACTGGTTTGCCCATCATCTCAGCAACTTCGGCTTCACGTGGAAATGGACTGAATGGTATGTTGCGACCCCTGCGTCTGCCTTGAATTTTCTAACTGTCCTAGGGTCGACGATGTCAATCTACCTGACGTACACCCAAGAAAGGCTTTTATTATGGACGCCTTGGACAAAGAGATCCGACTCAGCTTTTCGAAGCGCATCAAGGGGACCCTACCAGAACCTTATCAAGCCCTGATCTCGGAAGCCAAAGAAAAGGACGTGCCTGATTTCAAATACGACGATGAATCCACGCCCTTTGCTGCCGAAGGAAAGGAAGTTGCGCAGTTGATCCGACGCAAAGCCACCAGCGAGGAATTCGGTCCCATCCTGGAAAAAGTGGAAGAAGAAGCAGCAGCGTCAGGACTGTCCGACCCTTCTGTTGTATCAACCGATGTCTTTGTTACTTCGATGTGTTGGATTGGTTCCAAATCGTTGTCTCACGCTCTAGCTTGCATTGAACGGTGCAAAGAGCGTCTGTTGGCGATAAGTGCTACCAGTCCCGCCTGCAGGAAGCAAATCATCACCTCCGTCGTGGACTACTGGAAAGATCAACGTGGCATCGGAACTATTCTCGTTGACAAATTACTCAACTACCAAATCTTGACCCCTGAGAGTGTTATCGAGTGGGCGCTTATTGACCATGTCTCCCGCGGCACACTCCTCGCCACCACATGGTGTTACGAACTTGTCAGCAACACAACTCGCAAAGTAGCGGGGCGGGTTCGCAGCATCGTGGCCGCCGTTCGCTCGCCTGGTCTCTCGGACGAACAGAGGTCGGAACTCCAGCAAACATTGACTCGCGAACTCGAGACCATGAAGTCGCTTTTTGCCACGATCGAAGACGCGGTTGTGAGCATCAGGGACGGGAATCAAGACGAGATGATGGAGAGCTCTGATGCGTTACGTGCCGAAGACGAGGAATTGCTGAAGGCGTGGGGTGGGCGATGGGCCAGGGTATTCCATCGGAAATACGCGGTAGAAGAGAGTTGGGTCCGGGATGAATTAGCGAAGCCACTGCCAGTAGCGGAAGAGAAGCCCACTGAGGATGAGGTGATGAAGACGGACGAGACGGAGAATGGGGCGAATGGTGTGGCGGCGGTGGTAGGAGCTGGAGAGAATGGAGCAGCAGATGCCGCCGATGGAATTGAATAGATGTGGCACAGGGGTTTTGTCCGGGCGGGTGTTCAGGTCTTGGACATCCAGTGTGGGAAGCCCATGGGAGGAGGACGAAAGTGCCTCGAGCCGCATCCTGGTGAAGCAGGAAGGAAAGAAAGAAAAGACCGCCACCATCATTCATTCTTCTACATCCAAGATTCGGCCTCTGGAACTGTCACGACTGTCAAGGGGGAAAGGAAAACTGTACACCAACTAGCCTAACTACAGATGATTTTTGCACCTTTCTTGTATCACGTTGTTTTACCATGACAATGACAATGGCGATGGCGATGGCAATGCAGACAGACAAGACAAGACATACTGTTGCTATGTAGCTGCAGCGTAACAGCACATTATCTCTGTGTCTATGTCTATATCTATATCTGTATCTTTATCTTCATCTAGGTGTCTCCGACAGGGGCTCTTGACCATACGGCGCAACCATGTTCGGGTTCACACATGATTGTTGTAAGCCAGCGAGGCTGGCGAAACTCCGCCGAGGAAAGAGAGTGGCTGGTCGGTGGGATGGGTGCTGCCAGTGATCTCCAACCTAGAGATTGTCATTGTAATTGTGGACGGGACCGCAAGAGAGAGAGAGAGAGAGAGAGAGAGAGACAGCGTTCTATGTGTCTGCGTCTGGGTGGGTGGGTGATCTTGTACAGAAAAAGAATCAGGGCAGAGCAGCATCGACACGTCGAGAGCGGGAAAAGGAACAGTGGAACAAAGGACAAGGAAGAAAGAGAGAAAGAATACACGCGGTGTAAGGTATCTCACATCCTGTGTTCTTTTATTGCGTTGCCCCGCCGCTGTGCTCTGCTCCGCTCGGGTCTCGACATACTAGATACTGAGTCGAAATCCTCCAGACCATCATGGGGTGTGAATGTTCTTGTCGCCCTTGGCACTCTCGTGGTATATGAAGCGGAGGTGTGTCCCCTGCTCGCTGACGCGAAGACCCAGAAGCGAAGAAAACAGAAATCCAGACAGGAATGCTGTTCGAGTGGATTGTCTTTCGTTGCTGCATGCGCCAAACTCGATCTTTTTGGTCCCAAGTTGCATTCTTTCTCCAGGCAGCAGCTGAGTGCCACATAACCACGTCTCAGCCATGATAGCAGCCCTCATCTGCCAATGAGACAGTGTCGTCATTTGTGATGGCCATGACAGTATTCGAGCGGCGATCCTGTTGGTCTGAATATCGAAAATGGGCGAGGCGACACCATGGGAGTCTCTCCACCACGCAGCTGCTCATCGTGGAGTGCTGACCCTCAATAGCTTCCGAGCGCACTCCTCATCTTGTATCGACTTGTGTCCCCCACCCGACAAAACCAGTAATTTCCTCCCTCCAAAACGACGATTCCTCGCCTCTTGTCCTGATAGTACCACCTGTGTCCAGCGCATTGGGACAGAGACTAAGTCTTTCAGGATCATGCTTCTGGCTGAATTGCAAAACGCCCGAGCGTACACCTAACATTTGACTGAGCGCTGTGTGCCAATCAGTGCAGTCGCCCATACCTCCTGGGTACCATTGGGCTGCACAGGGACTTAAGAATTTCACTTTCCAATTGTGCAATTGCAGAAAAGTGCCTCTTCCGACGAACGCAAGCGACTTGTACAGCTAGGCAGAATGACAACTCTTGAGTGGGACTAGTCGCTGCCAGGTGAAAAGACACTAGGATCGCATTGACCGTAGTCCACCAATATTCTCTCGAATTATGGTTCAGTGCCGCTACGAGGAGAGCTGACCATTGGTATGCGAGAGGCGCGCGGAAGGTTGGAAGGTCCTGGAAAGGACCGAGATTCACAAGTCCGTAGTCGTAAAAGATGCTTTCTCAATATGGCGAGAAACCCAACCATGGTGATTTCCATAACCACTTGGTGAGGTTGATGAGGTTGGTGATAGCAACGCTGATAGCTCTTACGGCCCTTAAGTATATCACCGTGGTTACTTGCGGATACCGTATCCGGAAAACCCGCCCGGCGGCATGGGTGCTGAAGGTATCGTACCAGCTTGTGGACCC